GCTCTCCGGCTCTTTTGCTGACCCCTACCAAAATATAACCAGCACGAATATCAATCCCTACACCAAAAATATGAAAATGCCCTTCCTACCGGTCAATCTCAGGTAAGTCCTCCAACTTCATTCAGCTTTATTCCCTATTACAAAAGTTGAAAGTTCTCTCTTCTCAAATTCCAAATCGATGTCGCGAAAACGAAATAGGAGGAGGGGCTTAAGATTGCTTACGCAAAACGTCGCTGCCGTCGAAGGATTTATTGGCAGCCCAGTCGGCGTAGAAACCAGCGGTGATGTTGGGCGGAGCAGTCCATCCTCTGCCGTCTCCGACAACGTAGTAAGTCACCGCTTCGCACTCGATAGAGGCCAACACGACCAAAGCCAGAGCCATCGCCATGCTGCTTCTGCCCATCTTCTTCAAGTACTGTCTCTGAGAGAGAGAGAGAGAGAGAGAGAGAGAGAGAGAGAGAGAGAGAGAGAGAGAGAGAGAGAGAGAGAGAGAGATGTGTGTTGGAACTTTGGTGGAGAGCAAGCGAATGGCCCTTGGCTACTGGCAAACATTCGCAAATGATGCTGTACTCGTGCTATTTATAACGAGGGACTAATTCCAAATATCAAAATGCCCCTCATAAAGTTATTGGTAAACAGATTTTGTTAACGAGTGCCCCTCTAAGTAATTAATTAAATAAACTTTATAATTTCTAATGCATTGGCTATTGTCGTGTTACGTGTGATCATTACTTTGAAAAGTGAATAATTCCCTGTGTATGATAAGTAAATTCAATCTAGTCACCACAATTCAAGCGCGGAGTACAACAGTTCAAGATCTTATGGCTATACAACTCAAGCATCATTAGTTAATCCACAACAAAGGACAACATAAATTTTTCATTGAACTGTGTTCGAGACAAAAACAATCCAATGCGTTTAGAGATTTCTCACAGTTGACTGGGGAAGCTTCCCAAATGTCTGAATGGATTCAACACGACTGTGGAAGGCAAGCTCCTCGAGGGGGTCGGACCATTGAATCTGAACTCTTCAACTCTTACCAGTCTCCAAACTTGACCCATCTCATTTTCTCCATGGAAAGTGTCAATAATTGCTGTGATCGCAGACAATTAAAACCATCCTCGTATGACATACTCTTCTAGACATCCACGAGATTTTGCATTTCCGACATCTCTTAGTCCCAGAACACTTCCATCTTTTGTTGTGATTCTCAAGAGACAGATCACTAGAAAAGCCCGAAAATCCTCCTCCGCAAGAAGAAGATGGTCAGAAGTAGTCTGATTGTGCCGCTGGTCGTTGCGATGACGTGTCTCATAAGGGGCTTGACGGCAGCACGCCACACTGTCAGCGACGACGTAGGTGGACTTCTCTGCCGAACATAACTTCCGGGTTCTATGATGATTGGGCTGCCAGCAAAGTATTCATGGGTGGTGACTCTCTGGGTAAGCCATTGACACAGCTCCTTAGTTTCTTCACTGTTTTGCTTGATATCTTATCGTCACATTGGTTCTTTCACTTAGTCATTGGCTTAAATAAAGAACAATTGCATCACATGTGAGAAGGTACTGTACAGAGATTACCAGATCAAGCCAATTACTCTCAATAACATCCAGCCCACACCAGGTTAAAGGAAAAGGCACAAGTTACTCTTTACACATCTTTTGCACTGTGATTGACGCCGTTTGTTATATTATTCTTAAACTGAGTCTATCTGATATTATTTGCATGAAGGCGATTGTTTCTTCGTTTGCTTCTATCTCATCTTAATCGTTTTCATTCCAATATGTACGTATGAGTGATTTTGTATCGCAAAAAATCGATAAGCGAACAATTCTGATCAAATCTTTCTGGAGGCGTCCTTTGTCATTCCCACCCGTCGATTCTAACGCTTGTGATGAAACTATATACTGCAGACGTCCATTTTAAGGGAACTCAGAACCTGGCCGTTGTATCAAAAGAAGACTACGACCGCTCCAGAAAGGTGTCGAAGGTGTTGGGCGAAGGTGAGGAAGGCGAGAGCTACAGATACCAGCTCCCTGCGAATGCGAACGGCATGTATTACTTCACCAGCACCATCAAATCTCATTGCGAGGGCGGCCAGAAGCTCGCCATCAATGTCGCCTCCAGCGTCCCATTTCTGTCTTCTCTCAGCTCCGATTCCTTGTCTGTGCTCGTCTCCTCTGTACTGTCAGCTCTGTTCATTCACTGATATCTGAATGTACTTGCATTTTGCTTTGACTTATGTCCTGCACATCGTCTTCCACTGAAGTTGATGCGTGAATTCAAAACGAGACATTACTAAAATGATGACATGAGCTTTATCAATTTACAACAAGGACCTAAGAGACAAAGTGGACTAGAAAAGAGAATTGAACACAAAAATTTTAATGTGATTATTTGGATGAGAGATTTCTTATATGAGCTCCGTTTGTTTCGTGAAAAATAAACGATTTAGAAAATATTTTCTTAAAAATGATCATTTGTATCACTTGAAATAATTAATCAATGAAGAATGCTTTTATTATTGAGAATAATTTATATCTAAATATTTTTGGGGATGACGTATATATGTTTTCGTTCATTTATTTTTGTAAATTATATAAGCGATTATTTTTTAAATTATTCATTTTTTACGAAACAAACGTACTCTTAGCGATAGATAAATTCACATCCTCCCCCGATTTGTCAACTCTTTGCGTGATTACTTTGAGTACTCTTTTTGGGACTTGATTCACATGAAATGGGCTGGTTTATTACAACACGTTTAATTTGTTCAATGTTGGTGCATGAACTTTTGATATACATATTCAATATAGTTCTTGAACTATATGAAAATGTTGAATGTAATCCCTAAACTTGAATTAATGAAAGGACTACATTGAACATTCTCATATAGTTTAGGGACTAAATTAAATATGTACCAAAAGTCTAGGAACCACATTGAACAAATTAAAAGTTCAGGGACCACATTGAACATTAAGCTAAAGTTCGGGGACCACATTGAACAAATTAAAAGTTCGAGGGACCAAGGTTGCACATTGAGACAAAGTTTATGGACTATTTGTGTCATTATTCCTTAAGAAAATGGTATCTAAATCATTCATTTTCGAACAAAACAAGCACCTCTTAGTGATAGATAAATTGACAACTTCCCCGATTCGTCACCTTTTTGTGTGATCACTTTGAGTACTCTTATTGGGACTTGATTCACATGAAATGAGCCAGTTCATTACAACATGTGAAATTTAGGCACGAAACAAGTTGGAGATAATCGAGCTCTCACTCATATTTTTGGTTTTATATCGAAAGCCCGTTTAAAAAGTGGGATAACATAGTAACAATCGTAAATTTTATGTACCAAATGCACTATAATTTTAAATTTCTCCTCAAGAAGTGTGAGTACTACGAATCTATTCTCGATTATGATTTCTTCTTGGAAAGATTAAATTTGTAAAGTTTAGGACCTGATTACGTTTCCTATCGTACTATTAGCATTTGGAGGTTCATCGCATTGCATACATAAAGTTTAAGACTCATGGTGCAATCTTTATTAAAAAAATTGAAAAACCTAACACCACTCTCTCTCTCTCTCTCTCTCTCTCTCTCTCGATCTCATACAGAACCATCGCCATCACTGTCGTTGCACCACCATTGCTTTGCCAACGAAAATGGTCACCGCCCCAGAGAGAGAGAGAGAGAGAGAGAGAGAGAGAGAGAGAGAGAGAGAGAGAGAGCCTTAGACCTTGCGTCGAGGTTGATGATTGTCGTCTCTCTCACTCATAAAAACAGAGGTAGTCAACTATAGAACTAGAACTAAGGTTGATGACTATCGTCTACCTTAAGTATGTGGTAGACTAAGATTGTCATCTCACTTGATGGAGCTCTCGTGGCAGGCAAAGAGAGTAGTGTTTAGAATTTGAAATTGAGATGTGTCTTTTTTATTTTATTTTATGTAAAGTGACATATATAAGTCAATTTGTAAAAATTACGTCGCAAGCCGGCCATTTACACGGGAACTGAAATCAGCTACTAATTGAATTAGGATGGTTTAACCGGCGGAACCTGAAAGCGATGATGCTAGTGCGCTCGTCATTGTAGCTCAATCGGTGGAAAAATAATTATGTACTTTTGGCCAACGTTAACCCACTTCATAATCTAATGGTTCCTATGAAATGGACCAACGTTAAGTCGAGAGTATCGGTCACTTGATCTAATAGTTCATGTAGGATGGGTCAATTTAGATGGGGAAGTATATGAAAATAGCTCCGATCGTCGACCAATGACGTGCAAAGGTGCTGAACCGTCAATGAATGTCTAGACATTCCTCTTTGTGGACATCCGTAGCTTACGAGGAGGGACTCACGTGTTACTACGGTTCCGTTTGTTTCGTGGAAAATGTATAGTTTTTAAAAATTTTTTTTCTAAAAATAATGGCATGTATTGCTCATAAAAATATTTAGACATAAATTGTTGCTGATAAAGGAAACATTATCCATTAATTAATTATTTCCAGCGATATAAGCAATGATTTTTAGGAAAATGCTTTCCAAATTATTCATTTTTCGCGAAACAAACGGAATCTAAGTGTTTGAAGTTATATACGTGATCATGACCAATCAAGAGAGACACCAGGTTTCGTTTTTCGTAAGCTTTAAGATCTTGTGAGTCCCATACGACACGGACCAACCGAATTTTAACGAGGCCGATGAATTCGAGTCGGCTCCCAACCAAGTTTCAGAAAAGAAAAGGGGAAAATGGCCGATGTTCGTCGAATAAGGGAGGGACGAACTTATTTGAAAATCGAGAAGGCTAGCATCACTGACATCTAAAACTTACAGGACCCTTCTTTTATTCCATACAATACATAAATATGAATGACCTTACAGGACCCTCTTTTTATTCCATACAATACATAAATATGAATGACCAATGAACAACCAAATTAACATGAGCTAACAAAGGAAAATTACTGTATCATCATCCCCCTCTTTGACCCAGATCTAGTTCATAAACATTGCGACGATGCTTGATGATACGAGAACTAGCATGGACAAGTAGCCGACGGTGATCGAGGAAGCCGAGCTATTCGGTGACTCGGCCGGGGTCAGGCTAACGACGTTGATGGCTAGCTTCTGCCCGTTCTCGCAGTCGGAATCGACGGTGGAAATGAAATAGTACGGGCCATTCGCGTCCGCCGGAAGTGTGATACTGAACGCGACGCCGCCTTCGAACACCGAGATCACTTTTGTGCAGTTGTCATAGTCTTCTCTTGATACGATCGCGACGTTGTGTGTCCCATTCCATACAAACTCTGCATTATATAGATGGTTTAACGTTTATGAGTATGATATGAAAAGAAGATTTAAAATTGATACGAATTTTCACCTTTTGACACCTGGAATTTTAAAAAGGATAGTAGATTTATGTTGATTAATGTCCAAGTAAATTTAAACACCAATATAAGCTGACAGAAGTATATTGTCTGCATCAAGCTAGTGAACTAACATGTGGACATGGAATTGTTCCTTTGCATATCTAAGTGAGGTGACTAAACATGTTCCTAAGAAGGAAAATAAGTAGATGAATCCTTACTCAAAGTGTCGCCGCCCATGAAAGTTTTGCCGGCGGCCCACTCGTCGTAATACCCGACAGTGATGTTTGGCGACGCGGTCCAACCTCGGCTATCGCCGACTACATACTCCGTCGCCGCCGCACCTCCGAGGCAAGCCAGCATTGCGACGACCAAGAAACCTGCCAATACTACGCCTCTGCCCATCTTTTTCTTCCAAATCACGAGTCTCTCCTCTTAAATCCAAAACGCTTCAATACCCTCGAATCTTCTTTCACAATTGCAACTTCTGATGACTGTGAAGTCCGTAGGATGATTTGAAATCAATGCAGCTCCTTGGGGTATTTATAGAGATGGGAATCAAGATAAGTATAAATATCGAAGGCACGAGTGAAAAGGTGGCAAAGAACGGTTCAGTGCGTACCTTTTTTGGCAAACATAATTTTACTTGGTCTTCTTTTCGAACCATTCAAAGATTTTGGCCATTCGATCATATAAAAACAATATAGGATATGCTGACAATTTGATGATGCCAGGAGCCATTTTCTAATCGGGTGTGATGACGCTAAGCGTACACAAACTTTCTATCTTTGAGCGTAATTGTCATCGTCAATCGGCCATTGTCGTGATTGTTCAATTGGTGGCTGTCTTATCTCTTTCCCAGATAAAATTCCAAACATCTTTTTGGGGCGTGGGCTTGTAATTGTCAAAGAACAAGTTAACCACGTTTGCTTTGCGGTGTCCGTGGAAAATTCATTCGTAAAATGTCGCGTGGCTTTTATTGGGGAAAACAGAGGAAGTTCCAACGCACGTGAGATATTCAAGTGTATATATGGTCATTGGTCTAGCAATTATAGAACGGGTATATGACCGTGAATTACGGACATCACATTAGTTGGATTTCAAACCACGGATGTAGAGCCTCCCCGGCATAATTGAACACCTCCAAATAGTCCCCGAATAGTTCAGCAACCCTCTGGGAAAATTGTCAAATCAGTCCTAAACTTATTGTACGGCGACCAATTCAGTCCTAAACCTTTTAAGCTTGCCAATTTAGTCCTAAACCTTTGAAATTCTTGCCAATTGAGTCCTTCCGGCCAATTTTGGCCGGTCGGCGCTAACGTGGTCGGCCGGCGGGCGCCGGCTGTCCTGTCAATGCTGACGTGGCAATTTTTAATTATTTTTTTTTTCAATTTTTTAATCTTTTTTTTTTCTTTTTTCTGCTTTCTCCCCCCTAGCCGGTCCGGCGACCGGCGGCCGGCGAGGCCTCTGGCGAAGCTCGCCCTGCCGGCCACCGGCGAGGCCTCTGGCGAAGCTCGCCCTGCCGGCCACCGGCGAGGGCAAGGGCGAGGCGAGGTTGAGCCTCGCCGTCGCCTGGCTCGCGACGGCGAGGTCGAGCCTCGCCCAAATCTAGCAAGGCTCGACCTCGCCTTCGCGAGGCAAGGACGGCGAGGCGCCTCGCCTTGCCGTCGCCTGGGTCGCGACGACGAGGTCGAGCCTCACTTGGGTCGCGACGACGAGGTCGAGCCTTGCCTGGGTCGCGACGGCGAGGTCGAGCCTCGCCCAGATCTGGCGAGGCTCGACCTCGCCTCGCCCAGCCAGGGGCTGGCGAGGCTCACCCTCGCCGGTGGCCGGCGGGGCGAGCTTCGCCAGAGGCCTCGCCGGCCCTCCCCTCTGGCCGGCCGCTGGTCGCTAGACCTGCCAGAGGGAAGAAAGCAGAAAAAAAAAGAAAAAAAGAAAAAAAAGATTAAAAAATTGAAAAAAAATAATTAAAAATTGCCACGTCAGCGTTGATCGGACGGCCGGCGGCCACGTCAGCACCGGCCGGCCAAAATTGGCCGGAAGGACTCAATTGGCAAGAATTTAAAAGGTTTAGGACTGAATTGGCAAACTTAAAAGATTTAGGACTAAATTGGCTGCCGTACAATAAGTTTAGGACTGATTTGATAATTTTCCTGCAACCCTCTAATCATCCTGCCTCAATGGCTGAATAAGGGCTGCCTCGGCATAACGGAAGAAAAATGACGTCAACACATCTATATTATAGCAGGCCTCTTTCAACATTAAATTGGTGAAATTCCACCTAGTTTTCACGTCTAAAGTGCTAGGAAAATCCTTTATGCTATTTTAAAGATAATAAAATAATTAAAGGCTACTAATGTGTGTCTTGATTGAGTAGAGCCAGGTGAATATGCAGATGATGTATTAGCATGAATTGTTATGAGCAGTGATTTGCCTATATCAAGGGTGAACAAGGTATTAGACGCCGAGGTGTATACAAGCTGGGTGGACCTAATAGAAGGTGAACAAGCCTAGAATGAGGAGTTCGGTAAAGCTTGGACAGACATGAGTAAATGGTGAACAAGTCTGGTAGAACGGGGAATTTGTAAAGACTTGGAAAGACCATAAAATGGTGAATAACTAGTAGAGTCATGATTGCTAATATGCTTGGAAAGACCAGAGATAGAAGATTGAAAGATAGTTTCTAGCAAGTAGCATTGATAGAGTCATCCGGTTGCTAGCAGAATACTTGAGGGATTTGAGTTTCAAACGGTCATACAAGGTTCGATGGCTATATATTCAGTTTAAGGGAAGTAGTAGAGTTAGGGAGAAATGAACAAAATCAGTCTATTGCTTTAAGTATTCATCTTTGTTTTGTTCTAGTTGGTAGAAGTTGTGTATTTGTATGTATATTCTCTGTGAGGTCGCTGCCATCTGTAATTTGGGAAAAGAGGATATTATAATGTTGTTAGAGGGGCTTGCATATTAATATTAACGTTTATCAGCTTTGGGTAAAAGCAGTACCTGCTACTATTAATAATATCTCTTGAGATTATGAGTTGCAGACTCATTGGTGACTGTTGGTATGAAAGAGTTGATGTAGGCTTGGTTAAAAGCTTAATCATTATATAACTGTGTGCAGTATCTTCTATCACTTCACTATTAGCATTATTTGCTTGATAGAATCACTTGCATCTCATTACTGTTTCAACATCTATCAAAGTGTAATTTGATATATTCCGCGAAAATTTGTCAAAGATTTTTTTATCAACTTATTCACCTCCCTTTAGGTTATAAGGTTAGTGTGACATCCGGAATTTCCTACATCAATTAGTAATATGTAGGATATAAAGAAACTAAATGTCATGTGTGCAATCTCAATTGGATTATTAACTTTGTAGTGCGCGGAAAAATCCAAAGGGGTAATTTTATGTCCGTGGATTATGGAATGCTATTCCGTTAGTATTTAATTAACGTGTATTTGTTCATAGGTTGATTAAATAGAGTGGCGATGAAACACGTATCGTCATAGTAATTGTTAACGGAAACTGATACTTTGAATGCGTATCGGATATTTTTTAGGTTAGAAAATTACTGAGTAAAATCCCTAGCATTTGGTAACTTTTGCTGAACATGTTAGCGGGCTCAAAATTTCTTTTTGTATTATTGGAGTTTAGAACGAACACTGATCTCCTTGTTTATTTACTGATAAATAGCAGGGTAACTTAGCAAAAATATCTTCTTTTAGCTATTCATATTAAGCCACTTGTAACTTTTGTATTTGGATGCTTAATTCTCTTATGCACCTAGTGTTTTTAACCCAAGGTCATTATTACTTTTTAACCTTGGTAATTTGTTTTTATCTCTTGGTAATCTTATCAAGTCTTCCAAGTACATTTTTGTTTCGTCGAAATTGGATTGTCGACCAAATATCTTTCCTAGAATTTCGATTTTTGGCTTTTATATGATTGAGATTGGTTCCGTGGTAATTCCGGACAGAAGTTGTATCAATGGAACACAAGGAATAGATATGTTTCAATGGAATTTAATCAACGATGAAGCTTGATAACATAAAAAGCTATGTCGGAATTTAAACAATGACAAAATGCGATGATAAAGATACAACGTCGGATTTTAGTCGACAACGAAGAACCGAAAATTACAACTAAGATGCAAGATATCTAAAATTACAACTAAAGAACGGGAATTGAAAGTTATTGAAATTGCAGAAAAATAAAAATAAAGATAAATTTGCGAGAACCTTGAGCTCTCTAATATTTTTTTGTAGTCGGATAAGTTCCGAAGCTTTAGTTGTGCAGTGCCCAGCTGTCATATTCTTATGTTGGTATCTTCATGACAGTTCAGAATTTAGGATGAACTAAATGGTCTGTTGGACGAAGGAAAAAGACATATGCAGGGTAACATCAACTATGGAGATGCCTTCTTTGGCTCGATTTTCCAACTGGAATGGTGACGTTCTATCTGACTTCTTATTTTGTAACTTTTTTGGGGCGTTGTCTACTAACTTGAGTAGAGTCTGCTCATGCCATCATGACCTGGTCAAGAGTCCTTAGAGAAGGTGTGTCAAGGAGTGAATGAAATGAAGCAATAAGTTAAGAGACAATGCATAACGAGAGGAAACGACGAGAGGGGGGTCGATCTGATCTGGTAAGAGAGTTTAACTGAGATGGTTAGTTTGGATGGTCAGTATGGTAGCTGTAGTCTGATCTGATCCTTGTTGGATCTTGTTGTATTGGCTTGTAGCAGGAGTTAGTTGTAAGAATTTCATAATGTGGGCTTCATTAATTGAAATTATCTGAATTAGTTTGGTCTAATAAAGGTAAGATATATGGGTTCTTAATGTTTCCAATACTGGCCATTGGCCAGGTGTGGCGAAGTACGGCCCGGCCCGTAATGAGAGGGCCCGTGGTCGAAGACTCTATAAATAGCGCTCAAGTCCCTCCCCTAACCTGATGATGCACAATTTGACTCACATACGGATTTAGAGAGAACTTTCTTTTCGTGAGTGGCAATCTCATTAGGCCAGTGTTCCAACGAAGGGATAGGGGAGAAGCATTTGAGTTCGTGTTCGGAAACCGTCGCAAATTCCGCGTCAAGTTCGATGGATTCCAAACCAGGTACGCGAATCTACAATTTCTCCATTATCGTGTTTCGGTTTCTGATTATGGTGATCCTGGGCGTGCCATTTTCGTGGCCTACATTTGGTATCAGAGCCTGCCATAGATTAGAACTGAAACATACGGATTAGGACCGTTTTAGTTTTGTCCGAGAGATTTTTGCCCAGTTTCGAAATTTTTTGTCTGATAAAAGTTAAATTTTATTATATATTTGGAATCTACTCGTCGAGACGAGAAGAATGGTGGGCGGATCGTCGCCGGAGGAGGCCGGAAGCACCTTCACGCGCC